GAATGTTTAGCTCCTATTGTCACCAAGGGTATCGGTTTTGAAACGGATGGTTTGCGTGTGAGGAGAGGAATATTGTTCCACAAAAGTCGCGTGTCCGCTTCGACCCAGGAGCCGCGACTCGTGAAATATTCATGTGCTTGCCACTATCCCAATAGTTTCCGCATCACCCCAACTCTATTTAATACTGGTATGCCATGAGCGTTCTTGAGACAGGGGCGCTTGGCTTTGTTTGTACAGAGGGCTGATTTCAACTTACGAAAAGCAGGTTGCTGGAGTGAAGTCGTCAATGTTTGAGATACTATGAGTTGCGACGACATAGGTCATTGGCGTTCTTAACGATGGCGGTTTTAGTCGACTTGTTGTATGAATATGTCCAGATTCTTCTGGGCAATTATAATGATGATGATCTTTTGAGAGCTTCACACAAGTAATAATGTTCAACGACAATAGGATAAAGACCGGCCTGAAGGTGAACTTGTTCTGGTGGTAAGTTTATTACTGACAGCTTACGAGTAAGTAAGTTGTCTAACCACAAGCGCTAATAATCGTCACGTAATGAACGGGTTTGCAGTTCATAGATTTTATTATTTGATGCAATTGCGACACACAGAGCTACCGTGAATTAGGTAAGGGATGCTCTTGTAAGTAGTCATTGTAGATAATAATATTCTGATACCATCATCGCAACAAGGTCAGATCAGTGGATCAGCTCGCTACTTCAGCGATCGAGCGCTTTGAAATAGAGTAAACGTTCCAACAATGTTAGAAGTGTCCATATATTTATAGTTATTTGACTTTATTCACGATAGTGATTAAAGTGAAAGCAAATGGTTGTTCTCTTAAACCCATTAGCATTTGAAGAAGTCTCGATAGAATCACCAACATTATTATGTCTTGGGCTTCCGTCAGACTGCCTCGTTTGATCCATATACATGTATAATATGTGCTATGGCGACTGCAATGGTTATTACTATTTGGCTCAACGACACTTCTTATACACTGCTGTCTCTGTGTATCGGTGCGGGTTTTTAAGTTTTTTTTTTGACCAGTTTACTCAGATTGAGTTCGAATAAAATATGACCTCTATTGTTGTTCCGTTCGCGTTTAGGCTATAGGACAATTTCATGAATTGTGTATCCTTTGAAACGTATTTGAATCTGTTCAAATTTGACTTACTTGGAGGCTCAAGTCCTGAAAGGAGTACTTGCTAGGCTTCTTTCAGGACTTGAGCGGGCTGGCTGTATAGTCCAGCTTTTTCTAGATATGCTGCGTTAATTTCAACAATATAGTAACTTTATTTAACACTGAACAGCTCAATACGCAGATACGTATAGTGAACAAGCATTACTTAAAGATTTAGTTGCTTAAAACACGAAAGTATTTTGAAGCTTGCTAAACTTGTAAGCGTTGCTATTACACGTTTGTACTAAAGCGTAACATGCAAATCGGATCGCTCGTCAGCTTCCCGTTCATGTGGGCAAGTAATCTACATAAGGGGTACTTCATCGACATCTGTAAGCTCAATAACGCTACATGAAGATCACTAGTTTAATGGAAAAAAAAATGTAGGATCAGTGTAGGGTCGGCCAGGTCACTAAACTTACGGTGAAGTCAAAAAACAGGAATCAAACAAATGTCCGAGCATCATCTAAAGTGAGATACTCAAGGCATATCATAGGACTTTATATGCGGCTTGTAGTCAGCTCTGAAAGGAGTTGATAATCGTAAACTACTTGGATAGCTTTATCTCATAGTTGCAGCTATTAAAGGAGACCACAAAAGTTACAAACCGTCAATTGAAAACTGTATATATTATTTAAAGATACCAAACTAGACAGAAACAAGCGAGCTACCCAGTATTTAAATGAGGTACTACCTAATGATTTTAGATAGCCGTGGGCGGCGACCGCAAGCGACAACCTACTGTTTACAGTATAATAGTATTTACAGACACGTGCATACGATAATCTACGTACTTTGTATTATACAAGCTTTGCTCTAGAGAGGAGTGAACGTTTAAAGCCGAGCTTTATAGATGCGCTTGTTTTTGCTACTGATAAGCTGTTGAGTGTTGTGGGTCGATAACAACCCTTGGATACTGCCTCCGGAAGCGAAATCTAATTACTTTTTACTTTCGCTAGACACACCCTTTTTGCGGAAAAATCAAGAATCCACCCTGCCTTTCTTATTCAATTACTTATAATATTTTGTTTTTACGTTGTTATTTTTTTATAAAGGAATAAACAATAAATGTGCAATGCGCGCCAATGATCTAACGCATACTTACGAGAACGTTACCTGTATTATAGCAATTGTTTGTTTTTATTGATTTATCTCTATTGCTGTATGCATTCATGACGAATTTGTGTACTCCGTTGTAGAAGTGCTGCACGATCATTTGCATTTTTCTTGGCCCTTTTGCATTTGGTTTCGACGATTTAATAATAGACAGCAGCCTACAATGGTCACCTATGGGGTTGGCTTCAGCCGACCGTTCGGATTTGTATCGACAACAGCAATCGGCTTGAAAAGCCTGTCATACAGCGACAGTATCTATAATTTATTAGGAAGTTGTATGATAATCTACTATGTGCGACTTTACATCCAATCACTTCGATGTAATGACGACAGTCGTATGTGGGTGGATCTTAAACGCATAGCATTACCTTTATTCCGCAAAAGCTCCCAAACGGCTGAAATATTTACACTCACTACATGCCTGGCCTCGAAAATAGGGTATGTCACTCGGTTCTGTTTTTACAGAATAGCATAGTAGCTGAGCAACCAAAGCATCAACATTGTCTTTAATATTAAGGTCCTTGGACCGATAAGAGATGCAGAAAGGCACCGCCTTATTTATCTAGTCAGTCATTGAGGTTGCATTACGAGCGTTTCTATCTCGTCGACGTTCGTGAGAAAGGCTGAAGGCGCAAAAACAAGTACAAAACCACTATCCTGGCCGATAGATCCGTGAGTCTGGGTTTCGCCTATGGGTGACGTGGCAGCAGTGTGAACATGCAATTCCATCTCACCCCGGTTAAGACTTCAGCTAGAGTGTTGTATCGCTATCCTCGAGTGTCAACGGTTTATCGGCCTTGTACATATGTACATACCTAGTTCGTTCTTCTCGCTCGCGTTCGTTCAGGGAATTGTAGATGCCCCATTATTCCCAAATGCACAATAAGTCCGGGGCGGAAGTAAAGAGAGGGTTTTACGGACAGCCAAAGATAGACCTAGATCCTGGGATCGGTCTGACCCCTTGTCTAGCTTTTTACATGCGTTATGTATGTGTACGTATGTGTGCGTGCGTATGTCTGTGTACATGTGTAAGCCACGTTGGCTTTGAGCTAATACGCAGAGTTGAAGCCGAGAACGGGACATCAGAGCACATTAGACAAGTCGCCTCGCCTTATCCGTTTGTTATTCTCTGGTTTATATTAGTCTGAATCCTAGGTGAGTCGCTATATTCGACATGGTAAAAAGAGGAGGGTACAATGTAAAGACAACAAGGCAACACTGTCATGTCTTTCGCGTATCCCTGAACGACAGTAAAAAAGGGAAAATGTCATTGCATAAAGCTAGTTAGGTTCTCCGGTGCATGTCTTGGTTGAAGGCAAGCAACATAATGACACAAAACGAGTGATATTTGCATAGAAAACACATTGTATATATATCTACAAAAGAAAAGCAGTGAACAAAGGTGGGATTCGAAATTTGGATAAAGGCGGTCGTGTACATTAGTGTTTTTCTCGTCATTCTCCCGATTTTTCAATTCCTGTAAGCTCAAAACAAGATCTATATACATATATATATATATATATAATTACGAGCTGTCGCAATAAAAATGTTTTGTTCGCCATACGTCCGAATCGAAGCATTCACCTAAATGATAGAACGTTCCGTAAAAAGCCACGAATCGATAGAGACACACTAAATTGTTATGCTTTGCCACCTTCAACGAGTATACTTATGGAAGTTAGGTAGTATATAAGTTGGTAAGCTTAGTATAGCTCCTGAAAAAAACCCAGTATATATCCTTTTTGATCACTAGCACATTATTATTTATTTATATTCGGGTTCTATTAGTTATATTGTTCGAATCTACATGCAGCTTTTTTGTCGACATTTAATTAGATGCAGTCTATCTATAGTTATTTCTTTTTGTGTTTAACCTAATTCTTAGTAGATGCAGGCGGCATTCTATAACCATCCCTTGAAAAAAAAAAAAGCATTTTTTAATCTCGATGTTAATGCTAATGAGGCACTAATAGCGTTCGGAGTGTCGTACTACCCCATTGAAGACTAACCTATGTTCCTTTGACCTTTATTTTGCCAGTGTTATGGCCCACATTAGCATATTTTAATATAGCAGTATAATAACGCCGACGTATCATTACGAACAACGCGTAAAGAGACAGCGTCTGACAGCTTTCAAAAATGCGCAGGTTGAAAATCCTATATTGAAATTTGTAATTAGATATTTAAACAAGTAATTTTTAATAGGAACGTGTGCGATTTTAACCAAGGCTAAATTACTTCTGAAATGACCGTTTGAAAATCGCTGCTCCTGTTGTTACGTTTTAAAATTCACGTCTATAGATACGTGTTTAGAGAACAAGAAGAAAAAATGCATGGAGGCTCTTTCGAGTTTGCCAAACTTCAATAGGACGTCTCGCATGAAATTTCTTGAACTTCCTATACGCATAATTACTCATACTAATAGTAGTTAATTATAGTTAATGAGGACGGAGTAAACATGCTTGTAATATAATCTTCTAATAGTAGCATCGTACACCTCTAAAATAATTTCTTCACCCCCCTACTAACACAATCGGTGTAAATTTACTTGGCCATGTTCGAACTGGTTAACGCATTCTCGCGTCTAATAGGTTGTGTATCTTCACAGAGGACTTTTGTGTACTTTTCACGTTAACTGCTCGCTTATTAACCAAATTCTGTTCTGCTCGTTTCGCTTCCCGATCGCTTTCTCATCGTTTCAGGTCAGGAGCATTTAAGTCGATGGAACGGGCTTCGTAGAGCAACAGAGCAAACCCGTGAACAAAAAAGGACAAGCGTTAATGGGGTCGCCTCGGCGGAAACGACTAGTTTTAGTCGACCAGTGGGAGGACCTGGAACAAATTTGGGAATACTTTCCAACGGCCTGCATTTACTCACACCGACGATAGATCGCAGCTTGACCCCAACCAACGTCACCAAACAACTTGGCGCCACCGTCTATCTTCATTGCTTTGTGCGGAACATTGGCCAGAAGACGGTCAGTATCATGTCAGCGAGACTGTACGCAGCGAAGGGCAGGAGACGATGTTCTGCTCAAATGGATGGATTCCAACCGCATTGAGCCAATCTGTTAGATGTAGCCATCGGCAGCGAACAGCATCTGGCTTAATTATACTAGTTTATGCCCACGTGGAAAATTTGTTACTTGTTTATTTCGAGCGGCTTTTGTAAACGTTGCAACAGCGATCCGCAGAGAATGATTGCATTTCATGAAATAGATGTCTATTTACTTTTATTTTCAGTATGGCTTCTGATGAGCAGATGTAGTTCATAGGAAAGGAAATATAAAGAGAATGTAGCGTAACAAAAATGAGGCGTGTCCATCGACACCATTGTTTTTGATAACTAAAGTTTATTTCAGATAAATAGACTTCGGCTCTTTGCTGCTGCCTTATGTTCGTCGTTTTTATATATATATATATAACTAAAGCATATCAAAGTTACTCTGTTCTACGTGCATTTCGATTACCTACTGGGTGTATTATAGATGGCTGAAGTACTAAAGTTTTCAGTTAATAAAAGTGTCGATGTTTATAGAGAATGTCAACGGGACACAACAACTTTCAGGTTACATGGCTACGTCGGGCCGACTATCATATCCTCACCGTTGGCATGGTCACGTACACGACTGACGAGCGGTTTTCTGCGGTTCGTGGTGAGAGCCCTCACTCGCATGCCTTCATAACAGCGTTATCCAGCGATAGAGGCAGTGCCAATGGTGTCGCCGATTTGAATTCGCGAATGATGCCCCCAGCTGAAGATTGGATGCTGCAGATTCGCAGCCTGCAAAAAGCAGACGCGGGTATTTATGAGTGTCAAGTCAACACACAGCATCCTATGCTCAGCGCTCATGTCTTGCTCAGTGTTCTGTGTGAGTATATCATGGATCGATCGGTAAAATATAAACAATTGCCTACTAGCCGTTTGTATGCATACGAGTAGGGCATAAGTACATAGATGAGTACATGTAGAGAAGCAGGAAATTTCCTTTCAGTCTCGCAAAATAATAACGCTACAACGAGATGCTTTGGGGGCCGGCAGTAATTAAAGAGTTATCATTTCGTTGTTACATTTGGCGCTTTTACCGGCCGGTGTCTCGAGAAGATTTTAGAGGTGATTGAAGAAGAGTTATGATGTAACCTGGATCGAGACAAAATTTGGACGAATGAACGGTAACATCAGTATAGAGAGGTGGATAAACAGTAAATCTAAAACATTTGCCTTAAACAGGGCTTAATGTCAAAGCACTTTGATACGATATTCTATCGAATCGTTTATGTTGTCGTTGAGGGCGTTCAATTCTACAAGGAAAAAAAAAGCTAGACATGGAGCTGGTTGGGTCCAGTGACGAGCTATCGCTTCTGTCGAGACCAAAGCACCAAGTAAAATGTAGATTTTTTTTCATATATCGCCGGCAAGCCTTTTCCAAATAGGTCCTTTTGATGCTACAGGCATGAATCTGTCGAGTTAGAACGGACAAGTGTTTTAATTAAAATTTTACCAGGTTACTGCAAGCCATCATGGCAAGCAGCTCGGTAGTTTATAGTCGTACGTCGTAGACGCTCTTGCTTAAAAAAATGTGAAATCGGACTGCACCATACAAAATACTGAAAATACGAAATTTTATCAGACTTATATATAATCATTATCAATACATTATACGCATGTCGTAACGAGTGACAAAAAGTGTTATCTAACTTCTGTTCTGTAAAAGTGTTATCTGTTGAACAGAGCTCACTTTAAGTATGACCTGTTACAGATCAGTTACAACGGCTATATTTGAATGCTCGACTCAGGGGCCAAATACATTGTGCTTTAACTAGTCTCATACAAATCCGTTGCAGAGAAGCGAATATTATGCGTTTACCTTGTGAAAGCATAAAACTAGCACGTAGTTGTTTATTACATATAATAATAAAACGTTACTGGGCATGGCAGTTACTACATGAGTAGCAGAGCCGCTTTCTAAACTGGCCCAACGTATGGTTTTGGCGTTAATTTCAGCTCCGCGGGCATCGATTGCAGAAGGCACCGAGCTATCCATAATGAGCGGAAGTGAACTGGTCATCACCTGCGTGATTCATGATTGTCCACAATCGCCCCTACACGTCTTCTGGTATCACGGAGATCGTGTTGTCAACTACGACAATCGCTATTCAAAAGTCAACATCACTAACTTGCCACCTGTACAACAGAAACAAATGCCCCAACAGCATAGTTGGAACAATGCTATTGACAGCGGCCGGCCTGTGTCGCGACTAACCATCCATAATGCTAATAAACAGCATTCAGGAAGTTACGTCTGCGCGCCGATCGACTCTACGCCGGCGACGGTGCATGTGCATGTTTTTCATGGTACGTTCGTTTCGGTTACTTGAGCTCTATATCTTCTTCTTTTTCTGCATGATGGTGAACGACTTTCATACGTATGGACAGTTACTAGGTAAGCCGGCAGCCACCTCCGAACCCATTCGAAAGCACTTTTTCTAGACGCCCTTTCCCTTTAAGAAAATACTTCGCCGCCTTTCCTCAGACCCACAGATATATTCCACATATCTCTTGAGGTTTGTCACCCATGTCTCCCTAAGGAAGCGCCTCAGTGGGCAAAGGACAGTGACAATTTAAACACATGTGGGATCATTTGGCTGGAACTAATGGACTGCTGCGTAGGCAACGGTTACATGAATCGTCCGGGGCTCACCAAACGCCTTCTACATTGAGAGACTGACAAACGAAAACACTATCAGTAGGATGTGTAGCAGCATGTGTATGACTGATGATATGTGAGACCAAATAGATACGAAGATTGCGAGTGAGAGAACTACGAAATTTTTTGTTCGTGCTGAACTGTGGCTAAAACTTAAAGTCGATTCGTAAACATACAGCGTTCATTGCTGCTGTTGTGCGTAATCCTTTTCGCTCGTAGGCAATACGAGTCACGTGAGTATCGCCATGTAGTAGGTCTGATTGAAATTACGTATATTATCGATACGTGGTGTCTCCTATTGCAGCCGAGGAGCAAATGTCCCGACAGTCATTTTCGCAGTCGTCCGATATTTCATCATCGCATCCGCTTCGGACGCTGTACAGCCTCGGGCCATTGTTGGCTCTTCAGATGGCCTTCCTGATCTTGATCGCCATCAGGGCTACGTGACATCACCTGAACTTTAGCGGTCGCGAATGCTACTACAGGGTAAGTCTGCTTCGACGCAACCGATTGATATGGACTGTCATTATAATTGTTACTGCAGTTGTGGTCCATTTGTTGATGAGTGGCATCGAGCTAAGGCGATATCATGCAGGTAATTTAAAACGAGCGTTTCTTTGACAGCAAAGAAAAACTGCTCACACATTGCATACAGATTAATTATGTAAATTAAATCTCCATGGGTAATAGAGAAAATACAAAAATTATGCCCGCGCGGTGGCTTCGATGACTGGCTAAAATTCCGGCAGAGATTGCAGGCTTCAGCATGCTGCCCAGCGATGCTGGATATTTGTGTGAAGACAGCAGATCCGATCGTGAAGATCAAGCCGTATCACTGGGATTCGTCTGATTCTCTAAGCTAAACTTGTGATTAGTTAAATTCGTTTTAAATCACATACGTAGTTTTCCCATGTGTCCGGACATATATTTGAGTCAGGTAGTGGCATTAAAAAAAACGTAATTTTTTTTACTAGTTTTCTTTAACCTGTAACAACATATTGTACTTAACATCTTTATGTTGATGGGCAGGAACGCTCAACTGACGAGGCTGAATCATCTATGTGCACAAAGCCAGCGCAAAATTGTTTGGATCCAATTAACTTAACCCTGGCACCGGTGTGTGTTGATATGGACGACCCAGCGACGGGGTTGCCCCTCGAAGAGATCGAGGGGCGGCACAACACGCAAACGGCGACAGAGTTGATGACGACCCTTGAAGTTAACAGAGATTTCTACTTTCCCAGTAGAAATACCCTATCGCTTAGAGAACTGGTTCCGCCTGAAGTTGTTGACGTGAAATTGCATGTGGATCGGGACCTGCCAGACTCGCTGTGGAATCCATCCACGTAGAGGTATTAAAGGCTTGGTAGGCAATGATGGTGCCCGGAGCTATCGGCACTTCACACATGCACAAGCAACATTGACTTAATCATAAGTGGTCATTTCCTCTGAATGGTATATAGTAAGAAAATAGTAACATCATGCCCTGTTCGATAGCCCGCACAATAAGCGAATGGGGGATCAATGTTTTGCCCACCGTAAAGAAAGCTCAACGCCGGCAACAAAAACCAACAAATAGAGAAACAAACCACAGTCACTATTTGTAGAGTTTCCAACTTTCGCGTGCCCTCTTACAAAGAAATGAATTTAAAAATATATCACTAGAACGATTTAAGATAAGCCGGAAAACCAATAATCGAAAAATATTAGTGTGAAAAATGTGTACGTAAGTATTTAGGAGCATTGCAGTATGTGTATAAAAATTTATGAATGAATACGTCGTATATAGTATTGTTCAATTCAGGATATTTAGTTTACAAGAATGCGGTTCAAAGAGTACCTTGAATAGTTGCCTTTATTAGAACATAGGTAGCGTATTATTATTAAGTTTCTAAGCGAGTGTAAGATGAGCCAAAAAAAATGTGTGGGGGTAAGTTTTCACCAAAGAGTATTAGGTTATTAGGCGAATTTCACCGCATATAATTTCGTTAGTGGCTTTATATGTTCTTCAAGTAATTAGAAAAACAGTATAACGTTTTTTTTAATTTATTTTTTTGAAGTTTTTCAATTTATTATATTTTATAGAATTATTTTTACGTTGTGAGGTGCCAGTGACGATGTACGAGTGCGACTTCGTTGAATGTCTGATTTTACGCCGTCTATATGCAAACGTCGCTCTTCCTTTTACTGTGGCCGCGTTATATTTCATTCGATGAACGCAGAACGCCCTTTAAGGTGATTATCATTTTAAAAAATTAGTGACTCTGTAGCCTATGCGTATGGTAAACAACGTGTGGCTGTACATCTGCGACGTGTCTGTCCATGACTGGTACGCGTTGAATCCCATGCTTTACAATTTAATGGATAATATGAGAATGTCTCTTCTGGTAACCAAATATGGCCCCTAGAGAAACGAAATTATTTTGTAGAGTAAGGTAATTATTTCATATAGATATTTAATGACCGTTTCAACAATTAAAAGTGACAATGTAGCTTTTACGGCCCTTAGATAGGGCTCTTACGGGGTAATCTTTACCAATTAGTAAACGCTTTAGTAGGATAAGCACCACAGATCTCGGGATCAAATTGTGGAACATAAAATTTCTTGATATAGAAATTTTCCTATGCTGTAACAAAACGTATATCTATTTGACTATAGCCAGTTTGATGATAATAAAATGTCAATATTAAAAATAAACAAAATTATCAGATCGAAACACTGATATATGGGCTGATCTTGGGCACACGAATATACGACTTCGCTATATATTATTAGACATGTGAATTATGGTTGACAAATAAATCATAGGGGATAAGCTGCGATAATAACCGTAAAATTGTTCTATTTTGAGATCAACATCATCTTCGCAACACGCTATATACGTAAACTCGGCCCAATAGCCTCCAAGGTTTAATTGCTCTTCTGTGTGTGCAGCCATAAAAACGATTTATATTTCGATCTACAAATAACATTTACTATATGTGTATATAAATACAGGGTATCCCAAAAATATACACTGTAATTTAATTTGAGGGCACAGTGAATGCCAGTGCCTGGAACGTATTGCAAGAACCTATTTCACTGCGCCATTGAAGGGACTCTGGTGAAAATGGTAAATTTTCTTTTCAACAGCACGGAGCAATTGTACACTGTGAGAACCTTCTGGACAGATGGTTCGGATAAAGCGGTCCCATAGAATGCCCCGTACGTTTTTCAGACGCGAAGCCAGTAAATTTTTTCTTGTAAGGATACCTTAACGCTGAAGTGCACGCCAGAACACCGGGGGCACTGAAAGATTTGAAAGTTTATTGAAACTTGTCACTCGAGAGCCTACCGTAATCAGCAATTAAAAAGCAACAGGCCGGCGAAAATCTTTAACATCTGCAGTAAGAAGATAAATTACAAATTTTATATAGACAGTTTAAATATTAATTACATGTAAATAAAAGCTGAAGGTATAAGAATTCAAACTGTCTATACATTATATAATGGGACACCCTGTATATAAAAGAGAAAGGAATGTATACAATAGAACTGACTGGCATTTCGGACAAAATATAATTATATGTACACAGTAAGCTGAATTATTTTTGCGATAGGTCATGGTAAGGCATAGCGTGTGTACGTGGTCATGGGAAGAAGCGTATGTAATATAATATGAAAAAAATGTAGATGACGATAATGGTGAGCCAATACAGCGGAATACATTTTGTATCCAAACGATGACTGACAATGAAGCGATACGTTTTCTCTCTCCCCCCTCTCTCTCTCTCTCTCTCTCTCGCTCCCCTCTCTCTCTCACACACACACACAAAAGTGTTGATGAAATGACTTGCTGTAAATAAATTAGCAGTGATTATGCTACCAATGATAGTACTATGTTTTAACTATTTTCTGGTTAATGCCGATGCTATTTTTTCCGTTTGTGCAACAAGTTCGTTCCCCACACTAAATACGTTTCGCAGCTGGATCGGATTGCTTACCTTGAAAAAATGGTTAGAAACGGCACCCCTAAATATTTACGATCATTAATTACACCGAATGAAGCGATTGTGAGCTAAATACGTACGTGGAAGGAGATCTTGAAATGTGGATATCTTGAAAATGGAACGGTTACTGCACAAAAATTCGTTATAAAATGCACTAAATCAAATGTTTCGGTTGGAAGCATTAGTTCTATTGGTGTAGATGACAAACTGCATAGGTTAAATGTACCAAAACTGTACATTAAGACGAACGGGATAACTAAAAGCAGGCACGGATAATTACGTTGTTATTCATACGGAATCCCGATTTACCAAGCAATCGCTACCGTAATATCTAGAGCGACTGTAGCATAGGCCTTAGGCATTAAACTTCTACGACGCTTCAGAAGAATAGGTAAAATGCAATTTGTCTCCGTGTAAATTTCCGGCCAAAGACCGATCATTTGCACAATAAATATCTTGTGAAACAGCATAGTGATAATAGATTTATTATAGTCCTACTAGCGTAAGCCTGATAAAGTTGTTAGTATAGCGACTACTTGTACTCTTCTGGCCTAACGAAAAACTTTGGAAAATTCGGATCTAATCTGATCCCAAGGGTAAAATAAAGCAAGCATTGAGCTCTTCAGCAAATCGTAGAAGACTGGAATCGGTATGAGGCAAAACGAGTCCGGATCGACGAACGAGACAGCCATGGTTGTTTGAACGTTTAGTCAGCCGGGCGGCGGGAATAGTCGAACAGTGACCTGCCAATGTTGCTCCCCGTAAAGAAGCTGTTCAGCAACGGACAGTGTTCCAGACGCGAACAAAAAGGAGAAACGAAGGATGGGGTGGGTGTATGATGCGACCTATTGGCTTTCTCTGCTACAAAGAGGCAAATTCTATCGACAAAGTGAGGACGAATCATCATAATGGAGACAAGAAAGCCAAGACCGGGCGGCACCGAACGCCTACGAACGGAACCAACGAGATTGAGACAACGAAAAGCCTTGTGAAATAGCCGGGAGCGTTTGGCCAGGAAAAGCTGATTGGCCAACAAGAGCCGGCTAAGACCCAAGCACTATCGCTAACTTACGCTACTGAATCGAGTCTGTTCGGTTATTCTCTGGGGGTAGGAGGTGAGCGTGAAATCGGGGCCAGCTCAAGCAGACTCTCGGAGGTGTACAAACTTTGTAGGGAAACGAAGTCGCCGAGACGAGGGGGTGTTTTGAGAATGAGAGCAAATCCCTGTCATTAGTGAACCTGGCGAAATAGACTACGGCCCTGAGCAGCGCAGCAGCGCGAAACGGAAGTGACGATACCGGTGAAGACGGATTCTAACGTGAAGCTCTCCCTATGCGGCAGAAATCCCCACAAACTTTAGGAAATGGGCTTTGGAGTAGAACCGCCGCCAATTCAGTTTCGGCAGCAGGCGAAGTTAGTTTGCGGCGACATGCCTTTCCGAGTTCCGACACGCATAAAGGGCATCTGAGTTAATCCTACTAGCTCGACAACTGTTACTACCATTAGTGCCAAAAAAGCAGCACCGGAGCAAACGTCTTCTAACGTCACACAAATCCGGGCTATTACCGTATGTAGCTGGGTGTCACAGGTCGTAAACACGGCAGTTCGACCTGCAGACGAGCATGACTAGGCAGGAAGCACTGCAACCAAAGGCATACAAAACATGTCCAGTGTCTGCGTGTACGTCTCAGTACTATGAAATCGGTTTGACGTACCCAGTGCTTATACACCTACTTCATCAAGATAGCTGCTTCTGTTGATTAGAACCTAGCAGTTCTTGTGACCATACTTTCTTATACTGCCCCACCATATCACCATCTTGCAGCTGGGCAGAACGTTGTTAAAGCGCTAATCAACAACTACAGAAGGGGAAAACTTTTCTCTCGTTAGTGAATTGTTGATTAATGTTATCCGGTCAGGATTGTGATTGACAACCGCGAAACTCATTTAGTGAAGTACATCAGATTATTTTTTTGACAGATCAGGCAAACATTACCAATATGGATAAATAAGGAGCCAGCAATTTACTGCAAATAGTATAGGTTACTGGACACTTTTAGATAAAATCCGTCCCAAAGGCACGATTGCCTTCATATTGATTGCACTTCCCGAGTCCTTGAAGACATGCAAGTAAATATTAAAACAACAGGATAAATTCTATAGCAAAATTCAAACTAAGTTACGCACATGTCGAAAGGAAAAAGTGCTGGGCAGCCTTAACAGCCAGCAACCCTGAGGGCAGCAATTATCGCTTTATTTATATTTCAATCTTACTTACCTATTTGTTTTATATTAACACACGGTTTGCATCAGACGCGGTCATTGTCAGCATAAATCCAATGTGAAACAGGGCTTGCATCCCTTACTAGGGTAATCTCGGCATTTTGCGTACGCCTCAAATTCTGCTCAATAAAGAGTATGTGCCTATAATATATACATTAGCGTGTCTTGGAAACATACGGAAACCACTTGAAAGACTGGGTAAAGCCAGGCAACGTTTTGAGGGATTTTGAATCATGCAGAAATAATTAAATAGTTTAAACTTCTTAAGTCCCTATTCAAATGACGCTACAAAAAACTACTGTTTCGGCTGGTAAGTACGGTGAAGTGACACATATTTAACTGTGGGCTATTTCATTGCGTAACTTAGTTTAAAAACTTCAACTAATTTAGCTATGCAGTATCCTACTTGTCTTTCCCGGTTTTGAAGAAAGTCGCTGCGATGTTCTCATTTCGAAATGAAGCAAATAAATTAAAGAGCAATGTTTTCCAATTTTGAATTTACTAATTTACCGTAAAATTTATCCATTCTGACACATTTCAGGTGGAAAAAAATAATATAGATATTCGACAATTTTTACTTTCTCTAAAAATGTGGCGTACAGACGTTTTATTTGATTTACAAATTTTTCAAAATTCCGCTTACCTCCTACGCTCTACCTGAAAAAATGGCTTCAAATTTAAATGGAGACACAATTTTTGTTTCTGCATCGAGTAGCAAAGTGTCCCTATATACAATCGGATTTTGAGCTTACACCCGGAGATTCTTTATCACTATTAATTAGATGTATTTTTAGTAGAACGTAGCCAGTATTAAGTTAATTTAGCTTAGTTCGTGTCTTAGAAGACAGATTTAGTACAAAAGTCTCATGTCTCTCGCGCGTGATGGTATGGTTAGCGACACTCAAAATACAGATAGGATACTTTGCTCTTACCTTTGCCCTTACATATTCCCTCTCGGAGCAATTTCACAATCATTAACACTTGCAAATTCGAATTGGCTTAGTAAACGAAGCTGGCGCTTGGTCCTGCCATAGCTTTTGGCACTTCAGAGACTCGTAGTGCATGTGTTGGAACATGTTATCGTTTTAAACATACGCACCTCAGTTGTTTTCTAGCTGTTATGGCATTTGTTACAATTAAGGAAACACTGCAATATTATATAATGGCCTAAACCAGTTTTTTTTATTGTACTATTTTTTATTTAAGTTCGTTTCATTTTAATTTGAAGCGATTTTTGCATTTTAAATAGAGTAATGCAAAAAAATGCCTTGTGGTAATAATTACGTATCATCATGAAGATGTTCATAAGACGGCTGTGATTAAATGCAACATATCTATGATTCTACGGAAGGCGAGCAGCCATATTAATTATGAAGCAATGTTAATTTCTTCCTTGTTCATGTAGTATGACTTCTGTGACGCTAAGATCTACCATAGACATTAAAATTATAGCAACAAAATAAATAGCTTTATAATGCCCGTTGACCTTTATGTAAGGTGCATTCAATATTCAATTAAATTACCCAGCAGCTACGGTTAAAGAAGACCCAGACTATTCTTGAGAACTAGAGCTCCTGATCGTTTTCTAGGATAAAAAAATAAAAAGGCCTGTTGAGCTAACAGTCCTAGCCAGCTACTAGCGCGGGAAAATCTGAACAAAAATGAAGAAAATGTATCTAATTTATATTGATCATAAATATATCTATAAAAAGATTTTTATATTCTTTGCAAAAAATCTTTCTGCAAAAGGATCACTCGGAAAGGTCTGTCTATTTGCGCGGAGCACTCATGATCAGGTGATAATGTACTTCGACGATACCATTACCAGAAATGTAAACTCGTGGTCTGTGTAGATAGTACGTATCTGCGGTTGACAGAGGAAAGGACAAGCTCGAACGGGTTCTCGCGCAGAAAATCCTTTTAGATACACTCAATTTTCGCATTTCCCTACGCAAGAAAATGATCCATCAGTAGCACAATGACCACGTTCTAGTTAAAACCATATTTTAGTTCAAATCTGATCTACGAGCAGCTCATACGCAGTGGTAAAAGTCTGTTGGGAGTGAGTGAATGGAAGCTTCAAAAGCCTCATCTGGAAATTAGTATTCCACTAAAGATTGTACTGTAACATGATTTAGTTAACAAAGGATGGATTTGTCTTGAAACACCATCTCCGACTTTGCAATCCGTGACAAAGTGCATATGCTGAAATTAAACAATATTTTGCAATATACAGTACAATTTCAACCAGGATGTCAGCTAGGACATGCAGTAGTCGGACCATATCTGACATTGTCAGAAAATGGAGGAGGTTTATGAAACTATTTTAACGTAGCGTCTCTGCGCCTCGAGCTCCAAGCTGTACACCGTACCAGGCCAAATTTCGGTAATGTGATCGAGTGTTACTTCGATCGGCGATTGATAGTAATATACACGTGTGGTTATTTCAATTCGAATAGTAACTGCCCGGTAGCTAAACGCCATCACTATTATAGTGTTGCATGCGTAACGCAGTACGCAAGGTTCCCGCTATGCGGTTGCACGGGCCAGTCAGTAAACCATAACAGCCAAACTATTCGACAAACATCGATAATTGCACATGAACCCTATATGTTTGCGTCTCTGATTAACTCTTTTTTGCATCTGCAACAACGCCGACGAAGATAAGAAAAAAAAAAACGAAAAAAATCATGGGACAGCGAAGCGTTCCCATCAACTAGAAGTTCATTATCATTTAAGCAAACCATGATGTCTTATTTTTTTATCGAGTGAGTCATTACAATTGTATCTAATGTATCTATCAAAGTTAAATCTTCTCTATTTGTGGAACCCTGTTTAAGTGACGCTGTCCCTAAGTGAGCACATTTCCCGGTGAAACACTAGCATTGGTCTCTTTATGAAGCAAAAATGTTCGCTACCTATTTTCAAATGTTGTTGTTGCCCAATCTTTATCGTTTGGTCTCGATTCTTGCCCTGCTTCATCCTTATTTTTATCAAGTACATGTTTCAGTTTTTTTTTACAGCTACCCACCGACTGAATTGCCTTCCTGCTCTGCCATAGGTTTACGGCAATTTTTTGGCCATCTCAATTATCCCATTTTCTCCAATCGCAT